AAATCATTGAATTAGCTAGAAAATAAATGAGATTTTTTGCGGTGCATTGCTTTTGTGCTTTATCAGCTGGAGTTTTCCAGGAAACGCCAGCCACCTGAGGCCATTGCTGTTGGGAAGCTCTTGCAGCGGCTATCAGTGGTCGATAAGGGGAGTCAGTGGTTGCCCTTCTGTTTTGATAAGGCAAATATTCGCCATGGCGTTGCATTTACAGTACAGGGAAACAGTTGCAATTTATCCACTTAGCCGTGGATCTATCTTTTGGCAGGGGGAACGTGCCATTTCGGATTTCACGTTTTGCGCTCGCTTAGCCCGAAAAATCCACAGTAAATTGTCATTGGCTGGCGGACGGCGAGAAAAAATGCTCCAAAACACGTTTCCAGAGCTTCGGGCCACCATTTTTTATTTGTTTTTGTTTTTTTTATTTTTAAAAAAAGCCAAACTGAAATTTATATAATACATAAACATATGTGTATCTGTGACGAAGACACGTACGCCTACAGTTTGGAATGGTTAACTAATTTTTAAATTCGTTTTTTATGCTTTTCTTGCTCTCGAATGTTTTGTTTTTTTAATGAATTTTTTGGCATGATCTCATGATCGCGTTTATGTGTGAGTGACGGCAACCAATCCCACTTTGCTTCCATACGCAAGTATCTGTGAGATACATACGCTTTCCATGTAGCGGTCTCCGATGATGTGCTGCTGCTGCCCACTCGATCATCATGGTAATGATGATCGCCAAGAGCCAGCAATCTCAGCCAACTGGCCAGTGGGCCGAGGAGATACTTTTGTATCTTTTTGTCCCACTCCCCACCGCTATTGTATTGTATCTGTTAATGTCTTTCCTCTCTGTCTTTTCGTTGGCGAGGGCCATTTTGACGGGTCAGTCGGCGTTGTTAATGATCTGAAAAGCCAATTTCCATCAAAAACTGTACAACTGCACAGGGGAAATTAACAATACTACTATGTATGTAACTGGGGGTCTTAGATATGTATCTTAAAAAATTTCAAATAATTGTATCTAAGCTTTTGGATAAGCTTGAAGATGCAAACATGTAGGAATAATTGGATTTTAATTAAAACTTTGGTTTTTAAAATAGAAATAAACTAATAAGCAGGAAAGGTGTTTAAAAAACACAAGGTACAAGTTTATTGAGCTGTTCAGATTACTGATTATATTTATTACAATTATCCCATAAATTGTATAACTTTTTTCAAATGTTGTATAACAATTTACACATTTAAATAACAGTTTTTTTGCGGCAAATTATAATTATTTGAAATCAACAAGTTTGGAGGCAAATCTCGAACACTCGATCTCTTTAAACAAACACAACTTCGCCTCAAATGCGCAGCGGCCGGGCCATTTAATTTGAGTTGCTTTTTTAGACGCTGCCACTAACTAACACCGACTAACTTAGCTAAAGAGAGCAGTCGATGTCCGATTGAGCGAGAGCGAAACACTCATGAGTATGAGTGTGAGTGCGAGTGTGAGAAACACCCTGTGAAAGTATTCCCGATGATGATTATTATTATTTGCCATTGGCACACTCGTCGTATCTCGAAGTCGAACCGAAGGCGTCCCGAGCGCCGTTTCTCCCACACTCACACGACCCGAACGCAAGCGAGAGGGAGCTAAGCGAGCGTCCGAGCGGCGGCCGAGCAGGCAACAACCCGAGTGCAACTTCAGAGCAACTTCATTTCTTCAACGAATGCCGAAGGTGGCGGAGCTAACGTCGCTCGCTCGCTCGCAGTAACTGAAAGATCTTGCTATATAGTACGTGCCAGTGGAAATCGCTCATACGCCGCCTGGTCCAGTGTTATCGCAAGGAAGGCGAGGCGCTAAAAATACGATAAAAGGCGAATTTAAGAAACTGCCAGTGGGATCAGAGAACCACATTTAAAACTCACTGATTGTCGCGTGGAATGAAAACAATGTCAACATCCACACTACGATATGCGCATTAATTTATCGCCAGTGTTCCGCGAGTGTTCAAGTGTTCAAGCGACGAGAGTGCCCACAATTAACTGCCATTAATTCGCAAAAGTGCTAAGAATTCGCGGCGGTATGGCAGAATATTCGCTGGCGAACAAAGTGTGAATTGTGCGATCAGTGAATTCCCCTGAAAATAAACCACAATTAACGATCGCGTCTGAGACGAAGAGCTCTGAAGTGGAATAGTACTTAGTATTACGCCCCCATAAATCCCCCCGATAGCTCTTACTTGGCAGACTGGGACTTATCAATCGTCCAATTGATTAGGGCCCGCATAAACCACAAAACAGCCGAAAATCTGTGGCTGACAGTGCAAAAATTAAAATATATTTATATGTGTTTGCTCCGAAAGTGAAGTGAAATCAATTTTAATACAACTGCAAGTACCACCAGCATATTCTGATCCCTGATCCCTGTCGGGAGTTGACACAAACATACGCACATAGAGCCCGATCCCGCAGATTCCATTGAGCAGCGTCAATGACGCGACCTTTGACCAGCGAGGTGGAGTTTCCGTTTTTGAGAACCGATCAACTTGAAGCGAAGAAATGCCGCCCTCTGCGTTTTTAGTGAATGCCACCATAATCAGTGCCGCCAACGCCTTGGACAGCGACAAGGAGCAACTGCAGCAGCAGCAGCAGCAACTACAGCAGCAACACTTTACCAGCAGCAGCACAAACTACAACTACAAACAGGGCAACATGGTCCTGCAAAGCTATGAAAACTATCCCAGCTATCACCTGGCCCAACACCATCACCACCATCCGCATCATCACCTGCACTCACATCCGCATCAGCAACTGGGACAGCAGCAGCCACTGCATCACCACCAACTCCAGCAGCAGCAGCAGCAACAGCAGGCGCCACTGCAGCAGCCGCATCTCCCACAATTGCAGCAGCAACAGGCGCAGCAGCAGCAGCAGCAACATCTTCAGCAGCAGCAAGCGCACTATGGATCCGCGGAGCACCATCGACTGTCCGGCGGCAGCACGGGCAGCACCACCACCTCCTCCGGCTCCAGCTCGAGTGGCTCAACGTCCAGCGCTTCCTCGCAGGGATTCGCGGGGAGCGGCAGCAGTGCCAGCAACCTGGTCGGGGCTCTGAGCAGCTCCACGGCTGCATCTCTGGGCCTGGGCTACTTCAATGACATGGCACCCTTCGGGGGCGACGGCAGTGCCTACTACACGGACTCGGATGTCAACTTCTTCAGCACAGGTCAGCAAATATTTACCGACATCAAATGGAGGACATTTTAATTACGCCAGGCTGCTGGGGTGTGAAGAGCAGCAAACCAGAAGAAGCGCTAGCATAATTAAATTCGTTCGTAATTCGTTTTTAAGTGTTTGAGCGACACAGCGGCAGCAAACACGCAACAAGTTGGGCAGAAAATGGGGTTGGGAATTGGGAATGGGCAGCAGAGGGCCTGGGCTTGGATTCGAGCTGGGGTTTGGGGACGCAGATTGACCTGGTAGTGATAAGTGCCTGGCAATTAAGTGGCTTGTTTGCGCTTGGGGTTGTGAGGCATCCAAAGATGCTTCGGCTGCAGATACAAATCCACAGTCGTATCTGTATCTGAGGGTAATCTTTCTCGCTCTTCCCCAATCCGTTTCTCTCTCTTTCTGTCTCTCTGGAGGCGGCACCTAAAGAGGCGCTGCCAACTCTTTGGCCAGCCAGTGTATCTGGATTTGTATCTGTATCTGTATCTCTGTATCTGCGCAGTACAGGCGAATGGGAAGCGTAACGAAAGCTTACCATTTCTTCACTGTGCCAGAGCAAGATAGCCACATAGAAGAGCTGCATTTGTGTGTGAGCGCCAACAGGTTTTCGTTGTTGGCTTTTTTTTCGTATCCCACAGATACTTGTTCGAAATGTGTTAAATTTCGCTGTGCTCGCAATTAATGTACACTCACACTCTCACACAGAACATTAGATGTGGGCATGTGTGCGTGCGTATCTGTGTGCTGGCATTGCGATTGTGTGCGCTGTGATTTTGATTGGTTTCCGAACGCTCTCTCTTGTACGCTCGATTGAGTGCCGCCCCATTTTCATTTCAATTGCTAAATAATCCGCAATCAATGTGTCTTTGCGTGTGAAATATCGAATCATGAGGCATTTTAAAATTTGGCCGTGAAATTTCCCACGATTAATTCTCTGTTATGGCTTTAGTTGTTGTCAATTTTAGTTGCAAATAGGAGTAACTGTTGGGTGAAAGTTTGGCTAATTGGATCACATATTTTACGGATTGTTTGCTAATATTATTAGGCTAATAATTAGTTCGTTTTTTGCGACTCAATGGGAGAACGTAGGCTAAGTTAAATAACATTTTCTGGGATAGTTTTGGGTAAATATTAAGTTTCCTAGGGCCTTTTTGGGCATTAAGTCAAATCTTTTTATGAAATCATCTAAAGCTGCTGTGTAATATATTTTAGAGATGGCTTAATGCACTTGAAAGCAATGAATCACATTATCTTAAAACGATTTTTTTGTAGTTGGAAATTTTAATAAGAGAGTAGGCATAAAAAGTTCCACAAACAATAAAATTAAAGATGTTGGGATCATATGAAATTAAAAATTTTATATTTTCATAAACATTTAATAAAATATATGTGATCCCAACATCTTTTATTTTATTTATTTTAAGCTATTCTTATGCTGCATTGCTTTTTTTAAAATTTTTCAATATTTAACCCACTCACAATATTCGAAATCGCAAACAAACAAAAATAGAAAACTAGGATTTTATTTTATTAACTTACCAACTGACTAACTAATTACTGAATGAAGAGTATTGTTATTATAAATTAAGAATTATATGCTCTTAAAAATTTCCATTTATACATTCTATTTTTCAATTTAAATACTTAAAGTAAATTACAATACACGATTGTATGACTCTGTTTTAGAATTCACAAAGATTTCCCTCATTCCCTGAAACCATCATATCCATTACACCCTTGTTTCCAATGAAAATCAAATCTAATCGAAATGTTTTCCATTATTTCAGGCTACAGCAGCAATGCACACGATCGCAGCAACAACAGCCCGCCTCCGCAGCAATCGCAACAGCAGCAGCAGCAACCGACTGTCAATGGCAGTGGCGGCAGCAGCAACAATAACTCCATGCTGCCGCCCGCTGTCCAACAGAGCAGCAACAACAACAGCAGCAGCAGCAGCAATAACAACGAAAGCAACACCAACAGCAACACGAATAGCAGCAACAATGCCAATGCGGGCAGCAACAATAACAATAATAACAATAACAACAACAACAATATTAACTACATGGCAGCAATGGCAGCTATCTACCAGCAACACCAGCTCAAAGAGGAGCCGGGCACCCAGAGCAGCAACGGTAACGGGAGCAGCGGCTACGGCGGCAGCAACAGCCAGAACGATCCCACGGATCTCAGCAGCTACGGCCTGCCCGCTCACCTGGCCTACAGCACCGGCGGCAGTGGAAGCGGACCGACAGGTGGTGGCAGCTCTGGTGGCGGCGGTGATGATAGTGATTACCACAGCACCCAGGAGCATCATAGCCAGGCCTCCAGCGGAGCCAATGGCAGTGGAGCCGGCAGCGGCGGCAGTGGCAACGGAAGCACGGGCAACAGCAACGGCTACATGGACAGCAGCTCCGAGTTCTATGCCTACGGCCGAGGACGATTCCACGACGGTTATGGATCGGATTTCCAGCCCTACGATGCCCAGTTCCAGGCGATGAGCGCACAGTCTTCGGCCATGGATCAGTGGGGAGCAGCGCATGCCCATCAGCATCCGGCAGCGTACATGTCCACCCTGGGACTGGACAAGGGCCTGCTGGGCGGCTACACGACGCAGGGCGGAGTGCCATGCTTCACGGGCTCGGGACCCATCCAGCTGTGGCAGTTCCTTCTGGAGCTGCTGCTGGACAAGACGTGCCAGAGTTTCATTTCGTGGACGGGCGATGGCTGGGAGTTCAAGCTCACCGATCCGGATGAGGTGCGTTTATAATTTATTTGTATTTGGAATATTTTACTTACTTTTTATTCCTCTCTCCAGGTGGCTCGTCGCTGGGGCATTCGAAAGAACAAGCCCAAGATGAACTACGAGAAGCTGAGCCGAGGCCTGCGCTACTATTACGACAAGAACATCATCCACAAGACGGCCGGCAAGCGCTATGTCTATCGCTTTGTCTGTGATCTCCAGAATCTTGTTGGGTAAGTCGAGAGCTCTGTGACCTCCGCTTACAAGATGCTAATTGAAGTATTCTTTCCATTTTGCAGACACACCCCCGAGGAGCTGGTGGCCAAATACGATCTTAAGATTGAGAAAAAGGATGTGGACTAGCTGCCTGAATCGGGAGCCGTTTCAGGTGACCTGCCTCTGCCTCCCAGCCACGGATTGTACTCAACCAACCGCAAAATACTTTCGAGCGTTATTGTTTACCAAGCGTGATGTTAGCCTTTAAGCAGCAGCCCCGATCTGCGATCTTGCTACGAGATTAAAGTGTTCCCAACTCCAACTCCAAATCCAGCTCCAGCCCCCTCAATCCCACCCACATGTCACACCAATTTGCTTGTAATTATCGTGTAAAAATTAGACTTTTGAATTAATTTGAAATTAATTTAAAATACTTGAGCGTTAGTCCTAAGCCGATCTAGCATCGTAAGTCGTAAATCAAATAGGAACACGGCAAGAGAACCAGTTGAAAATGAAAGGAACGAAAGGATAAGAATTAAATTTGGAATTCTGTGTGCAATGTGATGATTTCCTCGTTCTCACATAGATGCTCTGCTGCAAGAATCGAACGTTGATAGAGGCCATAAAGCATATTGTGTCCCCAAAGTGATATTAGAGCGCAACATTTTGTTATATGTACGTACATAATCATTTTACCCGCACGGGGCACCAGAGAAACATAACATTTCAAGATCATGAGTGTATATAGCCGATGACGATGAAGTCTGTGGCGTATCAGTAGGTCTCTAGTATTTATATACATACAAAATAACCTGTAATCTGTGCTACAACTAAGTTTTCCACTTCCACTAAGTACTCCCCCCGAACACCTATCCACCATCTTGTGCGCTTCCGTGCGATCCCAAAAGTTTTAAACGTAAAACGGCGCACAGCAGTCGAACCATATCGATATGGACGACTACCGTGTGCGGCCGAACTCTTGTTAGTCTATGTGTACTTGTAGGTTACCTTACCCCTAGCCCTAGCCCTAAGTCTTCTTCTAGTGCGCCAAGTGCGCTAAGTTATTCGACAGTTTGAGAAGTGTTGATTATCCTGTATGATGTCTGATGGATGGTGTATGATGTATGATGTATTATGTATGATGTATGATGTATGATGTATGATGTATGATGTATGATGTATGATGTATGATGTATGATGTATGATGTGTGTGTATAGCTATTAAATATATAAGTCTAGCTCGTAGATGCTTAGCCACGTACTACACGCATAAACGTAAAGTTATATTGATACATAGAAACACATACTTACGTTGTAGAGCAATTCTAAAATATTGTATTTATACAGGCGTAAATTGTAATATTAAAGCTACCATTAACATTGCTAATGATAAAAACAATAAAAAGAAAAACCGATATGAAAATACAACAAAAAATCTGTTCAAAGATGTTTTATTTTTATTTTATTTTTTTATTAAACTCTCAATTCAATAAACTCACAAAATTTTAAAATTAAAATTAAAATTTAAAATTAATTTCTCATCACTGCTGGGAAATACCAGAACTCTCTATGGCCTCGAAGACCTTTAAAGCCGAGTATACGTAAGCGGCACGACGTAGGTCGTTGCAAAGCTCAAACTTGTTGGCCATCTGCTTGATCCCCATGGCCGCCGCCTCCATGACCGTCTGGAGAGCTGAGTCCACAATGTCCGCCTCCGTGGTGCACTCGCGTATTCTCTTCAGTTTTTCGTTGGCCACTATTTCTGGCTAGAATGGAAACAAGGCACTTGAGTAATTAGGGTTCCAAAGGATTCGAGGGATCAACTAACAAAGCTATCGGGGCATGTATTAAGCGACTCGTTGATGGAATTGAGCAACTCGTAGATGAGCTCAGAGGTCTTCTTGGAGTTCATTTTGCCGTAGGATACGTGGTTGATGTTCTTCAGATACTCAAAGTAGGAGACTGTAACTCCACCCGCGTTGCAGTAGAGATCGGGCACCAGGAGCACGCCCTTTTCCAGCAGGATCTTCTCGCCAGCGGGAGTAGTAGGTCCATTTGCCCCCTCCAAGATCAGCTTGGCCTTGATATCCCCGGCGTTTTCGTTGGTGATCACCTTTTGGGTGGCGCAGGGCATTAGGATATCGCATTCGGCGGTCAGCAACTCCTCCGAGGTCTCCTCGGCTTTGGGGTATCCCTTGACAGACTTCTTCTCAGCCACATACTCGAGGAGATCCTATCCAACATGATTGGAATGATGGAAGCGAATTTAGAAATTCGGATGGCACCGCAACTTACATTTATATCGATGCCGTCCTTGTTAACGATCGACACATTGAACTCCTTGACCCCGATTACCTTTGCCCCAGCCTCGTGTACGAACTTGGCGGCGAAGGAGCCAACGTTGCCGAAGCCCTGAACAATGACTTTCTTGTCCTCCCAGCCTGTTTTTAACTTGATCAGGTCCATCCACTCCTTGTCCTGCAGAAAGAGATCGCCCGCCTTCCATACGCCCCTGCCCGTGGCCGAGTTGCGACCATTGATGCCGCCGATATGGACGGGCTTGCCGGTGGTAATAGCCGCCGAATTGATGTCCTTGTACCCGAAGGTCTTTTGGTATTGGTCCACGATCCAGGCCATCTCTCGCGGACCCGTATTCACATCGGGCGCCGGCACATCTACTCCAGGTCCAATCATGTTGCGCTTCAGTAGCTCCATTGTGTACCGTCGCGTAATCGTCTGCAGCTCGTCCACAGTGTAGTTCTTAGGTTCGATGCGCACCCCTCCCTTGGATCCACCGTACGGCAGGTTGACGCAGGCGCACTTGAATGTCATGATCGCGGCAAGGGCCTTTACCTCGCTCTCGTCAACGTCCATGGCGAAACGGATGCCTAAGGGAAGCGCCGAAGGAAATTATTACTGATCCTGCGAAATTCGAACCAGCCCAAGTAAGACTACCCAGAAAACAGACTAAATAATCGGAGCTTGTTTACTTACCACCCTTGAGGGGCAGTTTGTGGCGCACGTGGTGAGAGCGATAGCCGGTAATGATCTCGTAGGTGCCGTTCTTGCGCACAATGGGAAAGTTAATCTCCACCGAGGTGGAGACGCTTCCAATCAGATTAAGGATTGCGCTGACGCGCTGCTTACGCTCCTCCTCCTTTAAGTGCGGATACTTTGCCATCTCCTTGATTAGCTCCGGCTCCAGTGTCTGCGCAGCCTTGTGATAGTAATAGAGCACCATGGCCGAGAACTCGGGATCCTTGTCCGTCTCGACCTTCTTCAGATACTCGGGCATTTGGTGTTCAAAGCGTTGGCCCATCCCGCTTGGACGCCTGCGCAGAAGCGCGCCAAAGCAGCGAAACATATTACAGTTAAAAAGGTAAAATAGTGAAGAAAATTTTTAAAGAATATACTGGAGCCGGAAGTTTTCTGGGAAGAGTACTAGTACTAAGTTTATTTTGTCTTGTTTATTTTTATTAGGTTTCCTTTGAGCATCTTGGGGAATTTCCGACCGATTTTCCGTCCCATGTGCCTTGGATTTGAAATCACATCTTAGTGGACATTTCGATAGGTCAAAGATTCAGAAGTTCATTGAATACAGAGAGCGGACACGACACTCAAATACAAAAAAGGTTACTCGTTCCATTCCTTAGAAATACCACCCACGAATACCAGTTTTTGTTCAACAAATTTGAAGACATCACCAATAAAATACCATCGCCATGGACGAAATCACGCCTTTCGACAAGGTTGGCTTCTTGGAGAGCTATCTGCTCAAGCACAAGGAGCTGGGCAAACGCCAGCGCGAGTACAAGAAGATCCTGTCCAGCAAGCTCAAGACACGCAAGGAGACCATCATTGAGGCCAGCTATGAGACGGCCAACGATCAGCTGGAGGAGGAGAAGAACGACCTGAGAGCCCAGATCTGGGTGGCCAGCGGTACCACTCACAAGAGGAACAACGAGCGCTATCTGGAGCTGATCCGCTGCCATGTTGAGTGCCAAGAAAACCTCTCGCAGGACATCAACTCGCTGAAGACCTCCATCCTAAACATGGAGCGCGAGACGAGCCGGATGGCCAAGCAAATCTACAACCTCAACCGGTTGACAATTCCCGACCAGCAGCACCAGGCCTATGTGATGAAGGCCCGCAAGCGGTTGAACATCCTGGAGAACTCACTGGAGGTGGGCATACGGCAGGAGTGTGGCTTCACTGCGGCCAATGCTGAGTTGCGGGAGCAGCTAATCCGCATCCTCAACCACCGCACCTTTTTCAACGACTCGTACACCAAGATGGTGCAGAAGCTCAACAGCGACAAGAAATACCTCTTAGATCTCATTGAGTACGCTGTGAACACCTTCGATGGCTGTATTGAGGTCTACGAGAAGATCGACATGCTGGCCAAACGGGAGGCCAAGGAGCGAGAGCTGAGGCGTGTGGAGATGCAGGGCATCATGCGGAAAGTGGCCGCCGACGGAGACAACAGCGCCTTCTTGCACTGCAAGTCCAAGACCAGGGAGCTGGCCGATCTGCAGCCAAAGGAGTACAAGCGACGGGACAAGTTCCGGCGCATCCACAACAAGAAGATTAATCTGTACAACTCAGTGCTGCAGAAGATCCTTGAGTACACCGACTCCAACAACGTGGATGAAGTGATCGAGAAGTTCCAGCAGCAGGAGAGCCTCTACTACTCCTTCTTCAACTACGCCAACGAGATGAGCTACCATATCACTCTGCTGAACAACTCGGTTAACCGCCTCTTCGAGGACATTGTTGCTTTGAAGAAGGACAACTCGAATACGCTGCAGGACCAGCTGGATCAGATCGCCAGCCTGGAGGCCAAGGTGCGTGACAAGGAGGAGTCGAACATGGACCTGCACAAGGCTAGGGAAAAAAACGATACGCGGCTTGAGAACCTCTTGCAGGGTGTGGAGACCATCTGTGAAATGTGCTCCATCGATGCCTCTCCGCTGTCCAAGTTGCTGGGCGATCACACCCACGTCAACTTGGTCAACGTGAGCCGCTTCCTCAAGATTCTCGAAGTGAGGGTCCAGGAGCTAACGGCCAGCGTTTATATGACAGAACGCCAGGAAGAAGGACGCTTCGACTACGTGGTCAAGCAGATCGAAAAGGTCTGCGAGCTGCCTACTGATCTCAACGACATCGTGCTCACACAACAGTGTCCCGAGTGCGCCGAGGGCGAGGCCTTCAACATGGATGAAGGCGGCGATGGCGTTTTGGTTCACACGGTCACTGAGGCCAAGAAGAAGCTATACGAGAAGGTCACTCAGCCGGAAATGCAGTACCGCCTGCACAGCATCAGTCAGTGCCGACTGCCGCGTTCTCGACTCCTGGCCGCCAAGCGCAATATGTAGGTCCTTCCTCAAGGAGCTAAGGCTTGTTCCAGAAGCTCTGAATTTGTCAGAAATTTAGCATGGGACATTACTTGTTTCAGTTTCTATTTTAACCAGTGATATATATTTTTGTCCCGGGATCCATATCAAATATCTCCAGATGCTTAAAATTCTAATCATTCTCGGTTTCGATTATAATAAATTTCAAACTTATTCTGGATAAAGTCAAACTTTTAACTTTAGGTAAAAGAGGCCAACACTGCGTATGAGTGATTAACATAGAATCTATCTACTGCAAATACTGCTGCAATTACTGGAATTTAAAAGAAAATCCACAAGTAAGACTTCAAATTAAGTTTGCTCATTTAAAAAAAACTCAATTATATATATTCAATTCTTGCTATTGTCTTTATTGATTAAATCTAAACATATATGTAGACTAAAGATTCATATATTCGTGCTAGTATGTTTGGTATATGCATTAAATAATTCGGGGCGAGGATGATCGTACGTAGCTAGTAGATTCTGTGGCCAAGTTCTTTTTGTTTAGGAGCTGGTCTTCTCCTCCTCTTCACCTAAGCCCAGGCCGCTGATTAGACCACCCAGGAAGCTGTCCACAATGGGATTGCCACTGCCAGCAGCAGCACCAGCACCAGGAGCGACTCCAGGGACAGGGGCCGGAGCGGGAACAATTGGAGCAGCATTAGCAGTACCGCAATCGTACATCCGGTTAAGTTTCTGGATATCCAAGTCCGAAAAGCCGTTTCTCTGGCCCATCTTGTCAGCGCCGTTGGCTTGCTGCATGGGAAATTATCAAATTAAATTAAAATTTAAGAAATAAGTAATTTATGGCCACCAAAGGACTTACCATGGCCACAATGGTGGGTTGTCCATTGATGGAGAAGGCATTCTTTGAGTAATGCATCACACTGCCGTAGTCGTAGGGCACTCCAAAGGCCTCGGTGCGAGCGGCCTTCTCAAAGTTGTTCATTGCCGAGGACTGGACATTGTTGTACTGGATGGCCACATAGCCATCACGCTCCATGCGATTCTGCTCGTGAAGGAATCCCAGGGCGTGCATCAGCTCGTGCATGGCGGTACCGGGACGACTCAGGCAGCCGGGTGACTGCAGATTTACCTCCTGCTTGCCACCCACACGGCCAACAGAGGACCAGCAGCCGGAGTTGTCGCCTCGAATGGAGATGTAGTCCCGCTCAGAGCTGCGACGCACAAAACGGATGCAGGTGCGACGATGGTACTCGGCAATGGCATTCTCAATGGTGGCCATATCACGGGCATTGAAACTGCCCCGGATCTCGTAAGGGACGACGCCATTGGGCCAACGGGAGGACTGGGTGGGCAGGCCATTCTTCATGATCAGATCCGTCTGGGGCACAAGCATATCGCCCTCCAGGTAGCTGCCCAGCTCCTCGGGATTCATCTCATCCGTGTCGGCACTAAAATTGCCCACCAGAGTGGCTGTCATGTCCTCATCCGGCTTACCAAAGAGAGCTGTGCCGAGCGGTGTGAGATCAATTATGTCCTGGCCCAGTTTTGGAGGAACCTCCTCGATTCCTGGCAACTCAACTACCTCCGTGTCATCCGCGTCATCGTAGGACACGAAAGGAAGGGCCTGGCAGGTGGTTAGAGCCAGAGCTAGGACTAGAAATACCTTTGGAGTCATTGTTGGACTTGAAATTGTTTGGCGGTTAGCTTTCCTCTTGACTGAATAGCTAGACTTGGACTGTGCTGACTTCTGGTCTGGCTGGGATATTTATATATTCCACAGCATAATCTCGCCGACGTCTTTATCGCCCTTCTGCCAGCGGTGGCTTTCATATGCATAAACAAGTTTTCCACGCGGAAACCTTCGCCGGATCTGCAGTCGTCATCGCTGCCGGCTTCTTGGATTGTGGATTGTCACACGCTTTATGGCCAGGCGTAAATATTTGGCCAGCGCTTATTCATGGAGCTGTGGACTGTGTGCTGTGGGTGGGTGGCTCTGCCATAAAGTGTATCAGTAGTTTGTTTGCATATCCAAAGTTTAACGACACTTAATTCGTAATTTTTCGCCCCCAAAGCGATAACCGATAAGCACTATCGCGCCGGCGACCTCTTCGCTTTATGAATTTATACCGCTCACTGTGCTAAGATATTCCGGAATAATTGGCCGGGGATTTGGAGTGGAAACAGCACACGCGGAACATTTAAATAATTCATGTGGAAATTTCTTATTTTTCAAGCACGCGAAGCAAAAATGGCATTGAAAAAGTTCACTCACTATTTTTGGGAGTACGTGCTTTAATTTAAGGAAGCAAACTGGGTTTATGTTCCTCGTTTACATTTTCAGATACAACTTCAATTCCTTGCACAAACTTTAATTACACCTAATTACAGATTGATTAAAAGTAACAGAATGATGGAGAGAGCTTGGCTAGGACCCTCACAAAATATGATTCAAATGAGACTTTGCGCATTCTTAAATACTAAATATTATTCACATGGCGGCGGCGACTTCAATGGATGCTTGGGGAAAAACAGAGAGCCGAGAAAAATCCCAAAGACTCCGCTCATTAGCCAGAACAGAAAGAACACATCTGTGTTTGCTCTGGCCACGAATTAAGTTCAAGTGCACAAGACACATGTTTGCCCGGCTAACGAACGGAGCTAGCATTGATAATAGACAGGGGTAGTTATTCCTAGGTATCAAAGCTCATTTCCACAACCATGTTGGAATCTGAGGCATTCAGCTCCTCCTCTTCGTCAAACTTGAGCTTCAGCTTCAGCTTGTCCGAGTTGAGGACACGACGGCTGTTGGCCGTAATATTCTTGGCCACATCCCGCAGTGCGGCACTGCAAATCTCATCGATGGTAGAGGAGTCGTCCATGAGGTCCTCTATGCAGCTCTTCAGGATCGTTGAGGTCACAATGCAGTCTCTGTTTAGGGCTAAACTCTTATGGAACGACTCGATGGCGCTGTCCAAGTTGCCCAGCAGTGCGTGAATGAATCCAATAGAGGTGTAGGTCGTGGCATTCTGTGGCTTCAGGAGGAGGGCCTGAAAAGGGTATAAAACTATGTAAAATAGACTAGATATATATATCCCTCTCTAGGTCGTACATTTTGAAAGTTATACAGGGCCTCCTCATACTTGTGCACTTTACGAAGCGAGTGGCCCAGATTGATGAAGAGCGGCTCCCAGCGGGCCGAAATCTCTTCGTTATTGGTCTTGGCCCGCTGCTTCACAATGTCGACAGTGCACTGAAAAATGGTGGCGGCGCCGTCAAAGAACTCATATTCATACTTAATCACACCGAGCTCATGTAGCACGTATACGTCCAGAGGAGCAATGTTCATCGCCTGCAGAAAGAACTTTTCCGCAAGCTCCAGATTCTTGGTCAGCCCGCACTCCACGCCAATGTAGAGCAGAGGCAGGTGGCAACCGCGCATCAATTGGGTGGCCTTGAAGTACGCCGCCATCGCCTGTTCGTGTTCGTTTTCATTGGCAAAGCTATGACCGTAGGCCAACCAAGCGGGGCCGTACAATCGATCCAAGGCAGTGGCCTTAGATAGGTAACGCCTGGCGGGATCGCTCTTTCCAATCATGTCGTAGTAGCATCCAACGGCATACCAGGAGATGGCCTTGTCGGGATAGCGATCCACCAGCTTATGGGCCACGTAAAAGAGGCGATTGAAGTCGCCGTTCTCCACCAAGCAGGCAATTTGAATGGTCAGAGCGTTGTTATGGAATGGATCCACCTTGAGTAATCTGTAAAGACACACAGTCTATACCAAGGGACTTGATATCTAAATCCTTGTACTCACTCATTCAGTATTTTCAGGCACAGCTTGTAGTCGCAATCGTAGAAACACTTTTCCGCCTCGGCAGCCATGAGATCTGTGCTGCGTTGAACGCGATTCAGGCAATCTGCGAGGGGAATTAGGGTGTCCGCATCGTGATCCCGGGATCGCCTGCGACTCGACGAATCGAACATGGACCGATGAGAGGCATCGATAAGGGAGGAAGCCCGCGACAGGCTCGTTTGCAGCGAAAACGTGGGAGCCTTAAGATCTTCTAGGACTCTTAAACAGAATAAATAACAAGCTAGTTAGTGCAACTATAAGGGACTTCTCAAAAGGACTCACTTCTGGGCGGGCGACATAAACTGGCTGGGGGTGAGCGGCACTTTCAGAGCGCTCACCTTGGGCATTTGCGACTCCGAGGAACAGGTCTGCTGCACCCGCGCCGTGAACTCCTTGATGAACTTTAATACATCCGGATTGACGATGGGCGAGATCTCCTCGGCATTGCGAGCGGATATCAGTTCGTAGTACTTCTTTAAACGAGACTCGTAGAGCTTTAGGATGAACTTGGCGTCCGTTTCGCTGGATTGCTGGGCGAGTGGCAGATGGTGCATCAGCTCAAATTCTACGGAAAGTGCGCTAATTATTTAGAACAAAACAATGAAAAGCTCTCTATTTACCCTCCCAGGCCATCAACATCTCGTGCTGAACCAGCGCCTCCAGAGCCTCGAAGCAGTAGATAGACTTGTGCAGGGCCTGCACATAGAAGTCCATGGCCGTGCCGCGATTGTCAAGGGCTTCGTACACCTTGCCCTTCATCAGGTAAATGGATGCCAGCAGCTCGTTCCGATGGTTCTCCTCGCCGCCAAAGACACTGTTGCTCTCCAGGTAGCAGCCACTGCCCGCGTCCACGGGCTGGTTAATCAGGGAAGTAGTCATCAGCTCCACATCCACGTTCTGAATGACATTGGCCGCCTCCGCGAACTCCTTGGCCGCGTAAAGGCTCTCCAGCAGCAGATTAAAGCACGGCAGCGAGCTCTTCTCCAGCTTGTTGTGCTGAATTGTGTACGCAGCTCGGTGGAACTCGCCCAACAGGAACATGCACTGCGCCTGGTAATAGATATCCCTGGGCTCCTGGCCACTCAGCACTGCCACCTTCTCCGCCCAGAACAGCGCCGTGGAATAGCGACGCTAAAAGTGCAATTTGAAAATCATTAACAATTGCCGGCTTTTTGTTTTCAGTGCTACTTGCCATGTCTATAAACTGCTTGACCAATTTCCTATACATGCACAGGTCGATGTGGTCACTGGCGGCGTCGGTACTGGTGTTTTCCGCGTCCCCCGGCATTTTAATTTAATATAAATTTTGTTTTTTTCCGTATTAAACAATTTTATTGGAAATCGCAGCCGCTAAGCAAGTTAATTGATCTGGCAACGTCGAAAAAAATCAGCTGTTGTGCCATTCGCAGGGAAAATAACGGATTGTTGCACTGAAAGAAACTGGGACATCGTCAAGCGCAAAAAAATATGCATTTTTAAAATATTATGAAAATGATTTAAAATATCGAAATAATTACATTAAAATTATTTATTTAAAGCTAATGAAAAACGTATTGAAGTTGTGTGTGTTGCTTTTGAAGGTATACAATGCTCAAACAGTCAAAATCAAGTCACTATTTCCCCATATAAATCTTAATAATAGAATAATTGGAATTTAAATGAATACCGTACCGATTATTTTAAAGTTAATGCGACAGTTAAAATATTTGCAGAAGTTTTTATGGTCTGTTCTCAGTTGAAATATCGGCTAACTATCGCATAACATGACCGTTATTTTCAGTAATTCTGTCGTATGGTTGGAGGTGTTAGCAAAATGATTGAATTAAATTATAAAAAAATACTCGATAGTCGATATTTTCCGATAGATAAATATTTTACCAATTTGCTAAAATATAAATAAAAATGATATATCATCGAAACAATATTTTTACATTTTTGCACAACCCTATTCATTCACGCGTCAAGGGAATACCCTGAATAGCTTTTTAAGCTTTTACGACCCGAAGAGATGGCAGGACTGTTCGTCAGCCCTCGGCCCAGTTCGGCTCGAGAAGAAACCTATAAATACATGTGCAAGCTGGCCATTCGCAAAGAAATTTGAAATTTTTTAAAAACAGTTGCGGGTGTAGGTATTTTTACTTTCAAAAATAAAAAAAGTTGTAAACAAATAAACACAACTGTATACTAAACATTCGCCGGTTGCAATAGAGCAAAGCTTAAAATTCTATTGATTTACTTAATAATTTTTTTTTTTTTTGCCAATTAGGAAATTAAAAATACCACATTTCCCGCTTCCAAACAATTCCCAACAACAAATATCACGGATTTAGTTTCTTCCAAAGATTATTATGATTTAATACTAACATTGCTCGCAGAAAAGTAAAATTAAAATACACGAGTTTGAGGAAAGCGGCCGATTCAGAAAAATAGTTTATTAACAAACAAAAAGCAATGCATCCGTGAGGCGGAGTTTCGGCGACGAAGCAGGGGAAGCAGAAGGAGCGACCAAAGAACGGCGAAAGGCGTGCAAGGCAGAAGTAACAGTTGCTGGCACGGCGGAGTGCTCGAGTGTGAGTGCAGAGCAATAGTAAAAAGCAAAAATGTGCTTGGCGGACGACAAAAGGAACGGGATGCGATTGCGGATGCAGAATTAAAATTAAATTCACACGAATTTATGCGCAACGCGCGTGTTTTCGGCAGAGTCCTGGGTATGTATAGGTGCTACGGGTGTGTGCCGTCTGTGCATGTGTGTGTGTGTGTATCGGGGAGCCGGCACAACAATTTGTTGACTGAAAATCGGCGTTGAAATAGGGCCGCGGCTCATTGTCATTCCATCTCGTTCTAACAGTGCGTATTTTACAACCTGCACTACGTACTAGTACTAGTATTTGCCGTTGTTCCTCCTCATACGCTTTCTGCTTTTCGGCTCACGTCATCTCTGTGGTAGGAACAACGACAACGTCGACGACGGCAACAACAAGAACAACCAATCGCCGCCTCAACTACACACTTATTCTTACTACCCATTATTATACGCACAGAGAGGGACGGACCGAGTGCGAGCGGGCGCGAGAGAGAGGGAGCACGAGACAGGGCTTGGCATCCATCTCGAAAAGCTGCGATGGAGCCATTTTCCAACTCCAACTCATTTCACGCTGATTTATGGCTCTAATAATAGGTTTGCTCAACACACAGCTTCCGCTATCCGGCGAAAGGATTACCACCCGAAGGATAATGCATAGTTGGTGCGCTTGGAGCCGCAAAACGACGGCTCCAAAGTAAACGCCAATGGATTACAGTTAATTACAATTGGTGAGAGTGAGAGGGCTACGCCTTGATCGATTTACGGCACTTAACGCTCAAATGCGTACGCGTGTGTTTTTGTGCTCCTTGCGCTCGCTCCACTGGTTTGGATCAAAAAAGGAGGACAGTTTTCGGGGGAGGGGGAAACTACAAAGGGCCGGCGAGGCGTACTATCATCCATTATCCATTATGTATTCGAGCTTATGCTAATTGTATGTGTCTGCCTTCCAGGTCTTTGGAAATTTGCATCGTTGACGAGGCGGAATAATGAATCGATGACTATTTACTGCTGATACGGCCACATCTGCCAGCTGTCTTTGGGCCTCTCCTCTCACTCACTCGCATATCCTGTGGAGCCAAAAAAAGTCAACCGAAATTCCCCAACAACTATAACGGCAACGAGGCCCCAGGCTTAACACGGAGTCCAACTCGAACTCAAACCGCAACGAACTCAAACCTGCGCAGCGAGTGGGAGCTTGCGAGAGAGAGCCAAGTTCGCGCAAGGACTCTCTGCGGGCAGAGGGAGTGGGCCGGAACGACGCGGAAGTGGTGACATCTGTTTTGGCGCTTTGTCAGTTGCGGATGCTGCCGAACGCCAACACGAAGGCAGACGAGCACACGAACCGAGCACCAACACCAACGAGCAGGAGCGCAACGTGAACAAGTGTGGAAATTGGAATTTTTATTCAAAACAATGCCCCTGCTGCAACAGGTATGTAAATAATAATAAAACCCATTCGCACTCCAGAGCGGTAATTTAAACGCTCACGTACGAGTTCGACTGAAGTCGCACAACGAGACGAGGCGAGGCAGTGGTCGCGAGAGAGGGCTTACATGGATTACGGAGAGAGCGCATCAGCTGTCCCGGCCTTTGGGCTCACCTACCCAATTTGGGAGTCGCAACTCGCGAGTGGCTGGCGGGCTGGCTGGATATGATCCTAATAGGATTAGTGCCCAACTTTACGCCTCACTTCTGAGAGTTTGCCACCTTGTTCGTCCTGCCGTCTGCTGCACATTATGAGTAGTTAAATTCGATTAAACTTGCGGCGTTTTGTCCGCCAGACACTGCAGCGCCTCTCCGTCGTCCTTGTCGTCAGTCCTTTGTGGCGCGGGGGCGGGTAATTTCCTGGGCGTAGCTGTGTAATTGTACTCTTTGTTGCGCAAAATAGTTGCGTGATTTAATTTCGCTCGCCTTTATATGTTTTTTAATTCACTTAAATGAAATGATTCGATTAGGACTCGCAGAGCGAGTGGCAACATAAATGGAGAGAACGCTAGGAAGCGGCAAAGTGGTTGTTACACTGTTAAAATAATTCTATCCAGGCGAAAGTGACATAAATGGGATTATAGATTAAGAGATTTTCCATTTTTTAATAAACTAAAAATTCAAGAATGCTTTTAGCATTACAGATGATTAGAGTGATTTTCTTTCTAGGTCAATTTTTTCCATGTACAATTTTAGAGTCACCTTTAATATACTTAATTATATTTATATTATTTATTTATTTATTATATTCGCATTCAAAGCCTGGTCTCAAAATATTCCTTAGCAATTAGACTTAAACATTTTATTTGAATTGGTATCTCTCAGTTGAAATATTCGTCACACAATCAAATGACTTGCTAGAAGTCTTTACCCTTATCCCAAATGATTACTTGTCCCATCCTGACAACCACTTTATCCCCTTTAAAATTAATTGTTCTTCCTGGCAATATCCTAGATGGATATCAATACACATCAAATGATATCAGATATGGCAATTGCCATTGCCCTTCACCCCACATATGAATATAATGATTACAATGTATTTTATGCTGTGATACGCATATGCTAACCAAGCCATCACAACTAAGCCCATGCCCCGACCCTCGACTAGATTTAAACGGTCCTGAAGCGACTGTCAATATGTGTGACAGGTTTTTTAAGATGCTTCGCCTTTGGAGCACTTGGTCCCATTGTTGGCTGCGTCTTTGCCTCCCGTTTATATCTTTGCCACGTCTTCCTACTTCTGAAAAAGTTGCTCATTGTCGACTGTGACAGGAGACCCGGGCCCCGTCTATTGCTCATCATTCAGGCATTTGACGACAGACGAGAACGCACAGGGGTTGAGGAAAAGCTGCCTTGACTACGTCAATGGATTGGGGATGGCACAGGAGGAGGACCTCGAGCAGGCTGAGGGAGCTGCATCCATGGCCCGAGTTGGCTGACAATGGAGCTGCGCATTTGTTACAATGTTTACACAAATATTTAAGGATAATCCGACGATTTCAAAGGGGTTATTATGCAATTTTTCTTCTTATTTTATTGTGGCTGCTAGCAGCGGCAGCAGCAAAATGGGGGAAAAAAATCTAAATAGACCCATCTGAATAACTAAATGCAAAATGTCAATTTCGTCGTGTAAGCAGAGTCCATCCCCCCGTTCGTCGGGAGGGGATCTATGGCTCTATATTCATATTTATTTGCTGGTAATGTCTAAAATGCGTCTACTTCATGGCAACGTGGCGTGTACTTAATGTCCTTCTCCCATCTTCATCTCCCTTGCTATTCTCTTCTCGCATCTACAATATATATTTGTAGTATTTATATTTTTGCATTCATTTCCATTGCGCCATTGCCCGCTGTTTAAACTGCCTATAAATAATGTGGGGGGTCCACAACGGAAAATTTGTCGGTCATAAGAAATGCTGAACATTTTATGTGCAATTTTAAGCTGTGGGATGTGTGTGATATGTGTTTTTGCGCTGTAGCGTCCTGCTCTGCATCCAAAGCATATTCATATCCTGCTGTGGCATCATTTCATAGAGCATTTTTCTTTATTGTTTGGGAGTGCAAGTGGAGTTCAGCACCAGTTCGGTCCTTCAATTGACTTTTTAAGATGCAAAAAGACTTTAACAGTTTAATTCATTTTGAGTTCCCTACTAAAATAAAAAGGACAATTTCTGATAATTTAAAGCATGAGAAAAATTGGCTTCTATGCCTCTGGATCGTACTGTTGCAGGAATCAAGGAGCCATTAAAACCAGTTCCACCCTGCCTAAACGGACACAAAGTGACTGCATGCAATTGCCAGTTATTAGTCGGCTCAAGTTTGATTTTGAGATTGAAAATTATTGGGATTATTCAAGCCCGAACTCAAGGGAAATACTAGAGGCTGTAAAGTAGAGGAAAGAAAAATCATTTGAAGCAAATCATTGGGCTGGGCGGCATTAACAGTTGGTTATGTATACTTAAGTATTTGCCGCAGGCTGTCTACGCCAACTAGGGATGTCCACCTCGGCCTCTCAGTCCCAGTCCCGGATCCAGTCCCAATCCCAGTCCTGCCACTGCTCCTGCCCAGACTATTGGAATGTCTCGACATTTCGCGCAAATGCCAAAAGTACAAGGCGGCCAAGGCGTCTTCCAACAATGCGGTGGCAGCCGGCAGCCCCAGGGCACATCATTAAAATGTCGATACCAAGCAAATCACACGCCCGCCGCCAGCGAGAAGGATAACAACTGCAGCAGCAGCAGCAACAACAATGGGAAAATATCAACCAGGGTGCGTTTGTTGCGCTGCGGTGGGTGGAGTTGGCGGTGGCGTATTAGGGCGTAGCCCAGTGCAATATGAGCCTCTGGCATTTAACAAAAATGAGAAAAAATAAAAAAAAAAAGAAATAAAAATGGGGAGTGGAAAAAACAGCAGCAAATGGGAGAAAAATGAAAAAAGAAAATAACTAAAAAACAGAAAACGAGTGCAAAATTCAATTGAATTTACTTCGCCAGACGTCGCACAATACTCAACTAGCATTTAATGCATTGGCAGTGCGGCATGCGTTGTGGTGCACCCGCTCCACCTCACCCCTGACCCGCTGAACTGGCCGCCTCAACCTTTCCTCTCCTCGGCAACTTTGTGGTTGAACGGATGACGAAAGGTGGCTGAGGGTATCTGGCTTTCGGCGGGGAGCATAGGCGGTGCGGCGGCATATAGACAATGCTGTTGCGTTATCATTAAAAGCGAACAAAAATGCGGCAAAAGAAAATAGAAGCAAACAGCAATGAGCAGAGCAGCAACATCAACAACATTGCCCACAACAACAACAACAAAAGGCAAACCACAAAAGGCCAGCACCCAGCTGGAGTCGCCTCTTGTTTTCCATACACTCGCAGAGGTTCCTGCAACTCTGTTGTGACTTTTAGAACGCCCACAAGGAGGCAGTCTGTCCTCACAAAATCCACACAGCGTTTTCATTACAACTTGTCATAAAATGGACTTTGTTTGCCCCAAGAAGCAATAATTCTAAGCTTCTTTTTATTTTTAAATTCCAAAGAATAAGTATGCACATTGTTGTCAAGATTATAAGCTACAAATGCTTGGACCTCGAAAGTAATGCTATGCTTAACGGTTTTGAGAATTAAAATAATGGTCTATCAAAGAGATGTAAATTGTTAAAATACATTTTATACCTGAAAGTGTATTTATACTTCGACTCGATAAAGTACCTTTAAATTACTGGTTATGTATTTTATGTAAAATCCAAACCGTGCTACCTTTAGGGAGAATATAAAATAATGTAGAGACTATCTGGACCAGCAGAGGTCAGCCTGTGCTTTAAATTAAAAAAAAAAAAAAAACTAAACTTTCGGCCAGTAACTCGTCACTCTATCAAATGTAGCATACTTTTTCGGGAACGTCCAAGAAATTGCATCTATTATTTCGTTCTATTATTAGGTTTACCTTTTAGAAATTTTTAAAGTCAACTTTAATTTAGGGTTTCTTTAATTTCATTAAGGGGGTCTTCTCATTCAAAAGCCGTTTTTTGGACCCTTTTTAAAAAAATTCTTATTTGAAAACGCAAAGAATAATTGAAAACTTTTTTTATTTATTGTATTCAAAAATGTTCAAAGTAACTAAGAAAGTTGTTCTTGCCTCGATACGAGGGTTGTTCAAAGAGTAATGAGACTTCAAACTTGGTGGTCGAAAAAAAGGTGTCGTCCTGGCGGCCACGATTCAGGGTCTCCAGAGCGTCCGAAATGAAAAATAAAAACGGGGTTATAATCAGAATAGATGTCAATTTCGGCTGACGGAACAGATTTTTTTTAAAAATTTTTAAAACAAAATGGCGGCCATTCAAAAAAAAAATTCGATTTCGGGCGTTTTTTTTGTAGTTTAGTGTAAAAAAAAAATAGAAAAAAAAATTTAAAAAAAATCTGTTCCGTCAGCCGAAAATGGTGACAATTCTGCGTCGATTCCACTTTGTTTCATGAAAATCGGTTCAGTTGAACTGGAGATATCATGGCCGCCAGTTCGAAAAACGTGGTTTCGAGATAAACGCGTTTGAAGTTTGAAAAAAGCTCATTTTGCATAGATCTTGCTTCACAAAAAAGGCTGTATCTTCTAAAGTATTTCGAATTTCTAAAAATCCTTTTGGGGACATATACACACCATCCCAAACTATAAATAAATGCAAAAAAAAAAAAAAATCGAAAAAAAAAAGTTGCCCAATGAGAAGACCCCCTTAAGAAGTATATAATATTTCATATTCGAGCCTCTTCCCTAGGCTTTTAAAAGTTGGATGGGTTTCTGTTTTCAACCAGGCCCGGCAAAATGGAAAATGGTGCCTTTTTGCCTCGTGGGCTGCCTAAAAAATGCGCAGCATGCATCCTGTGGTGGTTGCTCCTGCCACCCAAAAGTAGGAGCGGTAGAAGCATCCCCAGAAGCGGGATGTGGGCATA